CTCCTCCTCCACCAGGCGACGGTTCTTCCCCTCCACCTCCTCCACCACGCGACGGTTCTTCCCCTCGCCCTCCTCCACCACGCGACGGTTCTTCCCCTCCTCCTCCTCCACCACGCGACGGTTCTTCCCCTCGCCCTCCTCCACCACGCGACGGTTCTTCCCCTCCTCCTCCTCAACCAAGCAAACGTGCTGCCTCTCCTCCTCCACCAGGCGACGGTTCTTCCCCTCCACCTCCTCCACCACGCGACGGTTCTTCCCCTCGCCCTCCTCCACCACGCGACGGTTCTTCACCTCGCCCTCCTCCACCACGCGACGGTTCTTCCCCTCGCCCTCCTCCACCACGCGACGGTTCTTCCCCTCCTCCTCCTCAACCAAGCAAACGTGCTGCCTCTCCTCCTCCACCAGGCGACGGTTCTTCCCCTCCACCTCCTCCACCACGCGACGGTTCTTCCCCTCGCCCTCCTCCACCACGCGACGGTTCTTCCCCTCCACCTCCTCCACCACGCGACGGTTCTTCCCCTCGCCCTCCTCCACCACGCGACGGTTCTTCCCCTCCTCCTCCTCAACCAAGCAAACGTGCTGCCTCTCCTCCTCCACCAGGCGACGGTTCTTCCCCTCCACCTCCTCCACCACGCGACGGTTCTTCCCCTCGCCCTCCTCCACCACGCGACGGTTCTTCCCCTCGCCCTCCTCCACCACGCGACGGTTCTTCCCCTCGCCCTCCTCCACCACGCGACGGTTCTTCCCCTCCTCCTCCTCAACCAAGCAAACGTGCTGCCTCTCCTCCTCCACCAGGCGACGGTTCTTCCCCTCCACCTCCTCCACCACGCGACGGTTCTTCCCCTCGCCCTCCTCCACCACGCGACGGTTCTTCCCCTCGCCCTCCTCCACCACGCGACGGTTCTTCCCCTCCTCCTCCACCACGCGACGGTTCTTCCCCTCCACCGCCTCCTAGTGGACCCCCTTCAACATGTAAGTAGAGTATTCATCTCTTTTATATATTTGGTTATACTGCAAGGTTAACCCCATTCATGCAGGATCGTTGAAGACAAATCATATCCTTTTCTGGAAAAACCTTAATGTTAAATGAAAATCTGTTCAATACAGATTGCCCTAATATTGCCGTCTGTTTTAAGTTGTTTCAACTAGTCGTAAAACCAAAGTTTATCAAAATGGGAAAAATGTTCCTGTTTTCATGTCAAATGCATGAAGATATTATTCAGATGTGATATTATATTAAGAGTGCGATAGGCGAATAAGCAGCATGAGAAATCATTTCATGAGTATGTCTAAAGCTAGACGAGTCGTCACAGACACTAGAAAAGAAACCATAATTTAACCATATCCTTCATTTCGTCCTTTTAGAGAGGCCTTCTCCTCCGAACCCAAACCAAGTGTAGACGAACGAAAAGCCGATTCCACGCAGGACTAGAAGACTGCTGTTTATCAAATGACAACGAATTTAGAATTTTGCCATTAACGGCAACGAATGGCAACCAATCTTAAATATTAGTTTCCTTATGATGATCTAGGCCTTTCATGTAGATTTGTTTTTCTTCTATACGATCATGAAATGATAAGAGATAAAAGATTTGGTAAAACTAAACGGATTTAATGAAAATCAAGTGCAAAGTTACATCACTTATTTCATAATTCTTTGATCGGGTGATAGAGTAACCGGCTACGTGTATTCACTTTGATGCAGAAATGAAAAAGAAAGTAGCCTACTTACAGGATTTTATTTAATCCATTGACTCCTGAACTTTCTTGATCCTCAAGAACTAACTTTCACTGGTCACCAATGGTTTGATAGTCGTTTTGAATTGTGTAATTTAGTTTATTTGCTTCATACAGCAACGAAAACTCCTTTGCGAATTCATTATACCAGGTGACATCTTGGATGATTCGATAATCATTATTACATATTCATGAAATATTATTTTCTTTGAAGGATATCATCTTTCTCTTTCAAAAAGGAGTAAGGATACCATTACTTGCAGACGTGATTAGTATATAAATTGTCATGAAATTAAAATCTTTGCAAAATATAAAAGTCAAGTGGCTTTTTTTATTTCTTTCTTACAGGTAATTTTTATTATTAGTTTAACAGTCTTCATGCTCTTCCCGGGAGGATATGAAATTGGTTCGTGTGTAAAGGCCTAGAAATGAGGGTGGTGGTGTGTGCGTGAGGGTGTGTTATACACACAAAAACACACACTTATCCACCACTGTACGAATGAGTGTATGTATGTAAAGGTGAACGCAAGGGCTATGTAAGGGTGTATGTATGTATACAGAGAGAGGAAGAGAGAGAGAGAGAGAGAGAGAGAGAGAGAGAGAGAGAGAGTGTGTAAAGGGTGAGAGATAGAGGAAGAAAAGTGAAAAGAGCGGGAGGGGGAAAGGAAAAACGAGAAAATAGGAGAGAAGGGAGAAGGGAGAAGGGAGAAGGGATAATGACTTCTCACACCTCCTTGTAAAGTAAGACAGGTCCTCCCCCCCCCCCCTCCCTCGATGGGTGATTTCTTTTTCTTCCTAGCTGTTTTCCACTTTCAAATATTATTTTCTTCATCAAAGTACATGTAAGATGTATGTTAGTAAAACAAGTTCACCGCCCCCCCCCCCGAACCTCTATTTTCTATTACTCCTCCTATATTTTTTCCTCCTTCCTCCCCTCTCCATTTTATCATTCCACAATATCTCCCTCCCTCTCAGCTGTATCTGTCTCAACCTCTCTCTCTCCCCCATCTTTCTCTCCCCTCTCTCTCTCTCTCTCTCTCTCTCTCACTCTCTCTCCCCTGGCACCCTCTCTCTCTCTCCCCTCACTCTCTCTCCCTCTCTCTCTCTCTTACTCTCTCTCCCCTGTCACCCCCCTCTCTCTCTTTCTCTCTCTCTCTCTCTCTCTCCCCTGTCACCCTCTCTCTCTCTCTCTCTCTCTCTCTCTCTCTCTCTATCCCCCTCTCTCTCCCTATCTCTCTCTTTAAATTGTTCTCTCCCTGACACTTCCTCTTTCTGTCAGTATTGTTCAACTATGTTTCTATGATTAATCGTTATATATTGCGTGTGACTGTGTTGAATTACATTATCGAGTAGCATTGTGCAGTATATTATGGATCAAAATCAAACATGCATGCTTAATGTTATTTTCCAATTCGTAGTATTGTAGTAAGATGAATTATTTATCTCAAAGTTGTAAACAGTTTCCATCAAACAAATCTTCAGTTTTTACCTGTCATAAACTCAATTAATCAGCCTCAATTTCTATTTAAAATATGAATATTCCTCACTTGATAATGATAATTTTTAAAATAAGGATATTGACGAATTTGTACTATGTGTAACTTCAAATATTTAGCAAGTATGTAATATGCAATAAGTTGAATCTGTTTTAATGTGTATTACTTGTACTTGTCTATATCTATATTTTGTTGATTTTCTTAAAATAAATCTGAGCTTGTAAAACTTGCAGTGTAATTAATTTTTCAGGCAACAATTTTACATATTACTATCCTACATCTACTACCCCCCTAGCCTACATTTGCTACCACCCTACTTCTTCTCCTACCCTAGCTCAACTACCATCCTACTATTACTACCACCTTACCTCTACTACCCAACTACCTTGCTACCATCCTACCTCTACTATAATCCCAATTATACTACCACCCTACCTCTCCTCCCATCCTACCCTCATATATCTCCTACCATGCTCTACCCCCCCCCTCCCTCCCTCCCCTCCTCCATATTTTGATCAACGCTTGTGGATCTCGTGCATAAACAAATTATTATAGTACATGTACCTATAATACGTGTTAACGCTATTTGGCCAGTTTCTCAAAACCGTTATTAGTCTAAAGTTCGTGCGTTTCAATGGGATACCTACATACCTGAACAAAAGAGGATTTCGATAAATTAGCCCATGGTGCTCAGCTCGAGCAAGTACTTTCATGAAAAGCAAGTATTATTCGGACTAGAATTGCTTCTTCTCAGTACACTATTGTCGTCACCTTTCATCTCTTTCTCTCATCGACCATCGACCATACAACAATTCATATAAGATAAGACTGAACTGAACTGAACTAAGATTTGAAAAAAACTTCTGTAAGCAAGCGAAGCGAGCAAAGATTTTATTTTTCTTCATACACGATTAATGTTCTCGTACAAGAATTTGATGAATCGATATGATTTTTCATTTATTTACCATCAATAAAGAATATCATATATCTTAATCTTCATTAACATTTGAGACAGCGCTTGGAGGATCTTATACTGCTTTTAAATACATATTCTCATTTTTTTTAAATTTTACTTATGTCATGTATTTACCTGACCTACATTGTGTATGTACCTACATGTACATGTTCATTTTATTTTGTTCAGATGGACCCGTATGTTTTATTACACAACAACGCATTTTTTAAAATCAGAACATGAGATAAATACGTATATTTTTATGTTTACAGAAAGGGTAAATCTACATTAGAATTACAATATCATCGACAATAGGCTATCATGAGTATGGACGCTCGTGCGCATAGAATTGAAAATTAACAAAACTTTACCCCTCCCTAATACTCTCTTGGTTATTTAACGCTGGTGGCAAAGAATATAAAAATACCCCGGCTGTGATTGAAACAGAGATAATGCAATACAATGACCCATTTTGTGTTTGCAATCAGAGTCCAACGATCTAAACGATCAAATAATTTTCATTATTTGATTGATTATCGTATGCATTTCTAGAGTCATATCTTAAAGGTATAAAACAACTGTACTGGATGAAAAACATACATCTCTCAAGATTGACCGTTACATTGAAAAAAGGTGCATAGGTTCCCCCTATCCCCTAACCCAGCTAGATATTGTTTAGTAATGATTATCACAAGAAAGAAGCAGAAAACACTAGTAGATGTGGTGACGAACATGATCATGGGGGTAATCCGACAACTGATCCGGGCTTTGTTTCGTCAAAGTATAGGGTTAGGGTTAGGACCAGCGTGAGGGTTAGGACCAGCGTGAGGGTTAGGCCTTTTAGGTTATAATTAGGGCTGGGATAAGAGTTAGGTATAATGTTTGGTCCCGGATCGAAGCTAGAAATAAGAAATTTATAGCGGAGCAATAATCGCAGGAGCATTTGTTGTAGGACCGATGGTGGCTTGCCGAATCAGACGATCCCTTATAATACTTCGGGAAGCCTTCATGAATCAGGCCTACTTTAGAAGTAGAAGAACGAGAATCATTGAGATCCAAGTCGAATTGGCAACAAGGCGAGTTCCCGCCCCACTGACAAAAAGACAACCCTCATAAAGGCCGCGACCAGACGTTGCTTCTCGCGTCAAAGCGATCATAGCATCATTGCCTTCACGTCCGCTAGGTACGATCATAATCGCGGCCGTTCCATCTGCATTAACTTCTACGGAGAGCCCAGAGCAGCCGTCAACGGTAGTATCCCCACTGATGATATCGCAGTAGGTACCCTGGGGAAGACCAGTCTGCAGAACTTCATTCACGGTGAACTCCTCGTTGTTCAATGCAAAGAATCCCTTGTCTCCTCGAGAGAAAGCGATGGCATTTTCACCGTTGTCCCACCAGTTCTCCACAGCCTCACCCTCGGCGATATTACGGAAACAGACCATGTTACGGATCTCTTGCCAACGATGCTCGCACACCCATCCTCCGTCGCACGTTCCACGGTCATTGATGATGACATCGTCGATTACACCGTTGGCATTGGATGGTGGTCCCTGGTCCGTATTTTCGAACTCGTAGCTGCTCATGAGACGAGTGGTTCCGTAGTTCCAGGCGAGGGTGAAGGCCACTGCTTTCTTGTATGGGAGTGGTTCTTGGAAGGCCAGGATAGTCCCTCCAGCACCGTGACCGCGCTGGTTATCATGGTTCTCCACAAAGACAACGGCACTCTCACTCGGCATAAATGTCCATTTGTCATCGAACCCAAAGTCTGAGTATTCTGCCGCTGCCTTCGTGCCTCGGCCAAACTGGGCTATCTCATTGCAATACTTGAATTCAGTGACATCACCACACTCGTAGTACTCATCAACATGAATGGCCTCATTATCATCGACACCGATGACCTCGTTGTAGATCCACGGTCTTCCACCGAATGTGCAGTCATCGAGGCTATACATGAAAAGAGGTGAGAGAGGGAGAGAGATAGAGAGGGAGAGAGAGAGAGAGAGAGAGAGGTGGAAAATCAGATAGAGAGGGGGAGAAGAGGATAGAGAGAGAGAGAAATAACTTGTCGAAATTGTTAAAGATATTGTGTAATTGTAGAAATTTGTGTTTTTCTTTTAATGCGAAATCGAAAAATTTGAATCACTTGTCAATATTTGCTGTAGATCTGTAATAGGATTATAATCCCAAAGCACCAGCATTACTTTTTTGCATTTGTAGGTGATTTTCAGGGGGGGGGGGGGGAATCGTCCCTCCCGGAAAATTTGAAAAAGAGTGCAGCGTTTGGACAAATAAAAATGCAAAAATCTTCTCGCTCGGTAGCTACGCCCCGTCGCAAGGAATACAAGGAATGTATTTTTTGTGAATACAAAAAAACTTCAAAAACCTGTGAGGGGGTAGTCACTTCAAAAAGTCACCTACACAAAAATAACGTTTTTGATTATTACAGTGTACGTCACTTCTCTTCCCCCCCCCCCCCCCCCGAGGGGGGGGGGGGTCATGAAAAGAAATCACCGCCCCTGGTCATGATGATAATATTAACGACATAATTTTCACTATCTTATTTTTTGTATTATTATTACCATCATCTTCATTAAAACAAAATAGTGGGCCTAATATAGTCTTTATTATTATAACCATCTCCATTCATGTCATTAGTATTATTATTATCATCATTATCATTGTCATGATTATCACCATCCTGATCATCATTATTTTACTCACAGGTCTAAAATACCAGCCAGATCAGAGGGAAGCATGTGTTTAGCTGCATCTATTCGGAATCCAGCCACTCCTAATGAGATCAGGTCGTTCAGGTATTCCACCACCTGGAAAAATCATTCAAAAAATAGATACAAATAATTAATTCAGAAAAGGACATATATATTTTTTTTTAAAAGAGAGTTTGGAAAACATACATACATGTACATGTTTTCAAGAAATTCTCATACGCGTAGACAGCTATGGATTTCATATTTAAATTGATAATGAAATATTAGGAGATATCTTTTGCTTGAGTGAGCAAAAGCTACTTTGTGAAATGGCGCAAAACCCAGACTTGAACAAACGAACAAAAAAATGCTTTTCTGATGGGAGATCACATTCCATTTAAAGCTTTCAATTAACAATTTAAATTATCTGGGATTTTGATTGACCAATATCTTTTTATATATTAATAGTTCGATTGTTTGATTGTTCTTAATGGACCATCCTTAGTGCTATTCTATTTCTGACGTCCAAACTCTACGTGTGTGCGTGTATCCTTTTCCGAAATTCTGAAGTAGATAAATGTAGATGTCAAAATGTCAAAATGTGATAACTAAATTTATAAAATGTGTTCAAGAATGTAGCCAGTAAGAAGCGTCGAATGGGATCACGTGTGTGTGCATTAATTATTACCATATGCATGGGGAGTGCATTATGTTGGAAACAACCGTCAATTTCTCGACTTTATACTCATATTGTAGACCCACCTTATAAAACAAATAATACATAATGTAAGCTCGTGCATTAGTGATATGCACCGCATTTGGTTAAGTCACAATGAGACGGACAATGAACTCGACCAGTCTCGTTCACTACCTGCGTGCAGTGCATATTCACTAATGCACTCAAAAACGGTTCTAGGACAACTACCCCCAAGAGCAACCATCCTCTAGGACGGCTACCCCGGGACAACTACCCTCCGGACAACTTCCCCCAGACAACTACCCCCTAGGATAACTACCCCCTAGGACAACTAACCCTGGACAACTACCCCCTAGGACAGCTACTCCCGGACAACTACCCACCGGAAAACTACCCCCGGACAACTACCCACCGGAAAACTACACCCGGACAACTAGCCCCTACGACAACCATCCTCTAGGACAACTACCCGCGGGAGAACTATCCTAGGGGTTGTTGTCTGGGGGTAGTTGTCCAGGGGTAGTTGTCCTTGTGGGTAGTTGTCTGGGGGTAGTTTTCCGGGGTAGCTGTCCTATGAGTAGTTGTCCGGTCGTAGTTGTCCTAGTGGTAGATGTCTGGTGGTAGTTGTCCGGGGTAATTGTCCGGGGGTGTAGTCGTCCTGGAGGGTGGTTGACCTAGGGGTAGTTGACTGGGCGTAGTTGTGCGGGGGTAGTTGTCCTGGGGGTAGTTGACTGGGGTAGTTGTTCGGGGGTAGTTGTCTTGGGGGTAGTCATCCTAGAGGGTGGTTGCCTTAGGGGGTAGTTGACTGGGGGTGGTTATCCGGGGGATGGAAGTCCAGGGGGTAGGTGTCCGGATACGTTAAAAAAATGTGCTTCACACCTACCTTGGTCCTGCCATAGTAGTCATTATCAGGTCCATAGTAGATATCGGCTAGTGCTAGGAGATTGCAATACCGGACCTCATAGGAGCTACCAACGTAGCTTGTACTGAGTATCTCTCCTGATGAGATGTTGCACAGCCCTTTAGGTACATTGAAGTCATCATGGTCATAAGGAACATCCGGGAATGTGTAAGTACTATTATCCAACGTGGTAACTGCATATCATTGTTTCAGAATAAAAGAAATTGCATTCATACATACTGGGAATCTCGCTCAACAAGCCTATCTTTTCTGAGACTCCTTTTTTTCCCTTGTCAGTTCTATCAAGCAATATAAGATATGTTGTGTTATTCTCAAACTTAAATGTACCCTGTAAACTTATTTTTATAACGTAACTACACTACTTATCAGTATTTCGTTACTTGTATAATTCATTTGTTCTATTATATATTGTAATAATATATGGTTTGTATATGTCATTTTAATTTGTGGATATTAGAGTGGAAACATAAATAAAATAAAATAAAATAAAATAAAATCACCATTATCATAATCATCATCAACATCATCATCATCATCAATATAATCATCATCCCCACCATTATGGTCAAAATAATATCACTACTGGCGTCATCTTCGTACATCGTCTCATCCGTTTTCATCATCATCATCATCATCATCTTCATCGTCATCATCGTCATCATCACCATGATCATCATCATCATCATCATCACCATCATCGTCATCATCGCCATCATCGTCATCATCGTCATTACCTGCAGCCATGTGATTGACAATAGCATCTACATAGACCCTGACACCAGCCGCGTTACAGCGTGTGACCATGTCTGCGAACTGTTCACGAGTACCACTACGGCTCTCGATATTGTAGCTAACAGGTTGGTAACGCTGCCACCAGGGGTACGGGACGTCGTTATTTGGGTAGACTCTATGCTCCATTGGTGGCGAGACCTGAACACCAGCGAACTCATGCGGTCCAAGGTAACTATATCATGTGTACAATTATGAGAATTATTATCGCAACGCAGAATAGAAAATCGTCTTAAATTATCTTTATAAAACCAAACATGATCGCAAAAAATCAATCTCTGATCATTTAAAAAGCCTTGTGTATCACCCAGGCAACGACTCAGCCAGCCACTGAATAAGCGCGGGGGGGGGGGGGGGATGTTACACCCAAAAATGTAATAATGCCCACAAATGTAATAACACCCACAAATGTAATAATGCCCACAAATGTAATAACACCCACAAATGTAATAACACTTTACCCACAAATGTAATAATTTCACCCACAAATGTAATAACCACTTTACCCACAAATGTAATAATTTTGAATCACCCACAAATGTAATAATGACTTTACCCACAAATGTAATACATTTGAAGGGATATTTTGTCGAATTTAAAACTAAAACCCTGTAATAAAGCATGGGTATAGCGCGCAGTCTTTGCTCCAGACCCGGTTATTTCAAAAAAATTAAAAAATCTTCAAAACTAAGACCCCACCATCTTCCAAACTAAGACCCGGTAATAAAGCATGGGTTTAGAGCGTAGTTTTTCTTCCAGACCCGGTTATTTCAAAACTTTTAAAAAATCTTCAAAATTAAGACCCCATCATCTTATTCCTGTGGAAGAACATAAGTATTGAGCGTAGTCTTTCCTCTAGTCCCGGTTTTTCAAAAGTTAAAAAAAAAAAAAAAAAAAAAAAAAAAAAAAAAAAAAAAAAAAAAAAAAAACCTTTTAAACTAAGACCCCTCCATCTTCCAAATTAAGACCCGGTAATAAAGCATGGGATTAGAAAGTAGTCTTTACTTCAGACTCGGTTATTAAGAAAAGAAAATCTTCAAACTAAGACCTCACCATCTCATTCCTGTGGAATAACATGGGTATAGAGCGTAGTCTTTGCTCCAGACCCGGTTATTTCAAAGGAAATAGAAATTTAAACAAATCTTCGAAACTAAGACCCACCATGTTATTCCTCTTTTTTTTTCATTTAAAAATAAATTACATTATTACATATGTGGATAAAACACGTCACAAATAAATGATTGGTCGGCGGTCACACGAACTGACGAATCAGTCAAAATGGTCCATATATATATAACACACAGAGGAGGGACCGATTCGATGGTTCGTTGACCGTCGACGATTACTTAATCATGTAAATATTCTAACGCCCACAAATATCCTGGAATTCAATGTTCGTAGAAAAAAGTAATTGAATTAGTGACCTTAAATGTATTTAAATATTGTCGCTGATTGTTTTATGCATGTGATTATGAAATATGTTCACGATATGTAACATATATTTATAATTATGTACGCTATTAGTGACATTGGAACGTTGGATTGCGATGTTATATTTTCATGAGTGCGTGAATGAATTACCTTTCTTCATGTGATGAACGTATCAATTACTTATACTGAAGACTACCAATTGGTACGCGGTACACGGTGTGAATTCATGAGAACGAAATTTATTCAAAGGCAAATACAAACAAAACACATTTATATTACAGTTTTCCCTACTTCTGAAACACTCAACTCCCATAGATCACTGTATATAAATAACATGAACCTACCTGATTTTGGTCAGTACACACTTTCGTAACAGAAGAAGCAGTCCTTGCCACTTGCTTTTATTGTTCTATGCTTTTGATTTCTACAATATCTTCTGGTCTTTCTGGATATTGTACTACAATGAAGTAATTGATATATCTGCCTGATTTAAGTGCTCAATATTAAGAACGTCTCTGTCACAGTTTTGTTTATTGCTGTGATTTGTTGTAACTTTAGTGTTCTGACACTGCTCATTACCATGGAGGTACAACCACGAGAGAGGGGACTCCCCCGAAAGAAATGTCAGAATTAATCTCTAATCGAGAATCTAGGACACCTACCCCCCTGCCAACTACCCCCAGCTAACTACCCCCTAGAATGACAACCCCCCCCCCCCCAGCTAACTACCCCTGGACATCTACCCCGGACAATACCCCCGGACATCTACCCCAAGTCAAGTACCCCCGGACATCTATCCCCGGGCAACTACCCAGGCACGTATAGCCAGAGTTTGAAAAAAATTTTTTTGGGGGGGGAGGGGAACATAAATTAAATCGATCGAGGTCAAAAAAAGGGGTCTACAAAATTTCAACCGATCCTGGAAATTTTAGGGGGGCACGTGACCCCCCCCCCCCCCCCCCCCCGTGGCTACGCTCCTGCAACTACCCCCAGACATCAACCCCCGGTCAATACCCCCGGAAATCTACCCCCCCCCCCCCAATCCAACTATCTCCTTCCAACTACCCCCAGCCAACTACCCCCTACCTGAAAACTACCCCCAACTACCTTAATTTGCTTGGGGGTAGATGTCCGGGGGTGGGGGTAGTTGGAGGGGAGTTAGTTGTCCAGGGGGAGGGGTAGTTGGAATGGGTAAGATGTCCGGGGGTAGATGTCCGGGGAGGGGGTAGTTGACTGGGGGTAGATGTCCGGGGGTAGTTAGCTAGGTGGTAGTTATACCCATGCTTTATTACAGGGTTTTTGTTTTGAACAAATTCGACAAAATATCCCTTCAAATTTATTACATTTGTGGGTAAAGTCATTATTACATTTGTGGGTGATTCAAAATATCACTTCAAATTTATTACATTTGTGGGTAAAGTCATTATTACATTTGTGGGTGATTCAAAATTATTACATTTGTGGGTAAAGTGGTTATTACATTTGTGGGTGAAATTATTACATTTGTGGGTAAAGTGTTATTACATTTGTGGGTGTTGTTACATTTGTGGGTAAAGTGTTATTACATTTGTAGGCGTTATTACATTTGTGGGCATTATTACATTTGTGGGTGTAACAGGGGAGCGTTTTTCCTCAGGGTTTCCTCTTTTTTTGAAAATTTGAAAATTTGGCATATCAATATTTCGTTCTGGTGAGGGGGGGGGGTAAGTTCACCTTCTTTTGGTCACCCATTAGCACCATTTTATAAATTTCTTTCTTTTATTTCTTTTCTTTTTTCAACAAAAAAATTGATTGATGGGTGGGGGGATGTTCCTCCAAAACACATACACACAAACATTGAGGGGGGGGGGGTTCGACCTGGTATCACCATACAAGTACGTAATCCAAACATTGTTTCTATTCAATAAACCATGGGTTATTGAAACTGCCCCTGAGTGGATTTCCCGAAAGTCTTTGCGATCATGCTTAAACTAGGTGTGTCATTTCAAAAGCATCAGTAATATATGTTAATTATCCATTCAACATGGCTCTCTAATATTTTGTAAAACTTATTTAATACCAAGATTTATCTTTAAACAAAATGGACAAGAGCTTTTAGTTGAGGCGGCAACTGCATTTGTTTTGTTAGATTATATTTATAGTACGTTGTCATTAATCGGTTAGTATGTCATTGCAGTAGATCAAAGTGAGATATTTTTGTTTGTTGGTCTAAAGTGTAGACCTTTCTGATAGTTGAATTGGTAAATAGATGAAATGTCATTTTAGATTCAACAAAGCACGAAATAAGAGCACACAGACATTGCGAGATACTAACTGTATTACCAGATATTACTTCCCTGTCTGTGAGTGTCGGATACATTCCGACGTTTCATTTGCTGGTTCTTTGAATTATTACATATTTCTATTTATCTCTCCTCTCTAACATTATTTTTTTTCCGTCTTATTTCATCGGGATATATTTTCAATTCCTCGAAGCATAACACATACACTGTTGCCAATTAAGTTGTAATAAATTCTAATCAGGCTCTTTTCATGAAAAGATTGTGACAACATCATTTAATCTTGAAAGATAAAGTTTATTTTCTCAGAATTGTACTGATCAATAAAGACTGATCAATAAAGTGTTGAGACGATAATCTATCAATTTTAGAATATCATTGTTACAATCATTAATGAAAGAGGTAAGACAATATATTCCAATTTTGGGGGCACCATTGTATTATATAATTAGAGTGATATGTTCATTTATTTAGTACTCTCACACACTTGGTTTCACAGCCCTTTACATTGTATAAAGGTGTGAAATACAATTAAATATATACGTCTTCAAGTGTCTAGTGTGGGTGCTGTACGGATGTATATGGCTTGAAAGGCAACATCGAGGTTCAAGAAACACCAACATAGACTTACTCTTCACACTCCCTGACGATGTCTGTCCACTTCCATTCGAAAAGGTGAACGACAGTGGTTTTACCTTCCATGAAATTGGGATCAGTCCTTGCAGCATTGGCAGCAGCGATCCCGATGAGGAGCAGGATTGACGAGTATTGGTAACCCATCGTGACTGTGGGAGGAAACGGGGAAGTTTCTTTATTAATACAACACAATAAATATATAGTTACATGTATAATACTTTATTACTACAACTACTACTACTACTACTACTACTACTACTACTACTACTACTACTACTACTACCAGGGGTGACGATTTCTATTCATGACCGAGAGGGGGGGGGGGGTGAAATTCAATATTTACTAGTACATTTTGAAGGGTATTATGCGAGGGAGCGAAGCGATCGAGCAAGAAGATTTGTATTAGTCTTAACGCTGCACTATTGGGCCCTCCAGAGCCTAAAAGTGTGTTGTAGTCTTTAATCAGTATTTATTACACATTTGATTGTGCAATATTTCAAAATTTCCGAGGGGACGATTCCCTCTAAAAAGAAATTGAGGGGGGGGGGGACGCCTACCATAGAATAATTCCAAGTCTTGATTGAAGACGAACTTAAATTCATGTAATTTTGTTCTTTAACAAGGAACTATCAAATAAAGTCAATTGTATAGATTTGTGTCCATAATTTGCTCGTCACTTGAAAGATCAACATGATGAGAGCAACCAGTGACATGGATGGCCTGCCAAAGTTCAATTCCATATCAAGATGAGCTAAGTCTTTGTGAAACACCCTTCCCCCGCCCCGCCCCTCTTCACCCAGATTAGTGTAAGGCGCCAAATCCATTTGAAATTAAATGCTCAGTGGCTGCCAGGCTCACGATCAATTGGGCAAAACGAATTTCCGTTTCGGTTTAATAAAATTTGGAGTGGACTATTAGGCTATTATTATTATTATTATTATTATTATTATTAAGATGAACAAATATTATGTGTACAGAAGTACCATATGGAGCAAAACAACGAGTGTCAGAATATTATGCACACAGATAAGAAGTAGTAATGCAATCAAGCAATTAAAATGTTACTTACCGTATCTAGCGATTTATTGCCCTGAATTGGCCTGTTTATCGGATTGAGGTAAATATCACAAATTATCCTGATTTATACACCGTGCCAACTCAAACAATCTTTAGCGGAAGGATTCAGCTAGTGGTACGGTTGAATGTAGTTCCGACCAGAATGTTTGACAGGCATACATCATAAGACACGCTTATATTGCGTGGAAAGCAAAGTCCATCGGTTGTTTGCAGAGAAAAATTATCTTATACTTGACATGCCATGGAACGTAAAGGAGAGGAGTTCTCACGAAACATTTCCTTCAAGCTTTACTGTAGATCTCGTAAATTCCTTAAAACTTGGACATCCATTAACCTAACAAGAAGAAGGAGGAGGAGGAGGAGGAGGAGGAGGAAAAGGAAGAGGAGGAGGAGGAGGAGGAGGAGGAGGTGAAGAAGAAGCAGAAGAAGAAGTAGTATAATAAGAGGAAGAAGAAGAAGAAGAAGAAGAAGAAGAAGAAGAAGAAGAAGAAGAAGAAGAAGAAGAAGAAGGAGGAGGAGGAGGAGGAGGAGGAGGAAGAGAAAGAAGATAAGAAGAAGACGACGACGACGACAAAGAGCAGGATGAAAAGCTTCAGATGTTAATATACATGTACATAATATATCTTTTCACACTGGGTTTGTCATATTTGCATTAGATTTAAAATCTTTTATTCACTTTAGCATGCATTTACGAATGAAAACATAAACAACGACAATATGACATCGAACTGCTTATTTTGTGTTCATCATCTCTTATTGGATCTTTTTGTGTATATAACAAACCCAACTATCAAATGCTAATAGTTGACATTTTTCTGAAAAGGGCAACGACTCTATTTGACGTGCAAAATTCAAACGAATACATACATAATGTTTAATAAATATACTATGACCGAGAAACCTAGATCAATGTTTTTGCGAACTTGATTTCGGACCATGCATGATTTGAAGGTTAATAATTGAGATAGTTGGGGGGGGGGGGGGGTAAACCCCGACCCAACAACAAATATTGAGAGGGCAAGATCCAGCTTTATAACTAACCCAACCAATGTCATAATAGGTGTACGACAGTGGCGGATCCAGGGAGGGGGCCCTGGGGCCCTGGTTCCCTCCCCTGGGAAAAAAACAGGTAAAAACAGGTTAATTGTACCTTTATTTGGTGACGGCTTCAAACCCTGGGCCTCAAAGGGGGGGGGGGGGGGAGGGATTTTCAAATTTTCGAGGGCAAAAAAAAAAACGAGTGCTCCTTACCCCCTTTGGCCTCCTCCCCTGCCGCCGGCTGGATCCGCCCCTGGTGTACGAAGCGTGGGGGAGAGGCTGGGTGGCTGCCCCTCCGCTTCTAGAGCATTCTGAAACTACCGGTTAGGACAACATTTAGATCTAGTTTTTTTTGTGGCGTGCAATGTCGCCTTTTTCTGATATAATTGAACACTTCCATATACCATTACCTTGTGTGCTAACAATAATGTGAGAGATTGTTAGGTACATTCCTTTTTTGTAATATAGATTACTAATACATAAACCATCATCTGAGCAGAAGCGAACCAATAGGCTTTTCCCGTAATGTAACCGAATTTAATGCATATGTCATGAAGTGCTTCGATAAAAATATTTGATTCACTTAATACAAATAATGTATCTCGATAATAAGAATGCGAATCGCATACATCATTTGTTTCTACATGTAGGTAGGATTAGCATTATGGCTTGCTCTACCTAACGACACAAAGTATATGCAGTTTGCATTCTGACTATCGAATTATAATTATTTGTAATAGGTGAATGAATAATTTGTATCGAGGCACTTCACCTCGTTTCACTATGTGATTGGCCTATTTGGGACTCTCCTTGAACTGCTTGAAGTGACCAGCTGCCAACAAGTATCTGCTAATACTTGAACTAGTAATGGTTTGCAATTCCACAATGTGATAAAACCTGATTAACATTTGGATCTGGAAGTGGAAATATATGTAACTTTTTTTTTGGGGGGGGGGGCTGATAAAGTAACAAAGAGATTCCAAATAATTACCTAATACATTACTGAATGCATTAATAAAACATCATTAACTTAATAAAACAAACCTAGTTTGGGGTGTTACAATACACACAAATGAATCTATTAATAACAATTCATTTCTAATAGGCCTAAGTCGTTTTAAAGGAATTCGATACTATTATCACTAATAATTAAATGTTGCCTTAAGTTATCTCTTCGCTTTATTTTCTCTACTTGTTTCATATACATTTGGAATAATACCTTACACATTTATAAACATGCTTAAAATAGTCATGATTTCTCTGGAACACGCCCTATATCCATTGAAATGTAGTAAACACGAAAACTTTGTCAGTGTCCATGTACCAAACTCTAAGTCCGAATTTGTAATGATTTTTTTTAAATACCTACGCACTGGGATCATAGAAACATTGTAAACATGATAACTTTGTATATATGTACCAAACTAAAAATCAGAACAATCCTGATTCTCTTCACTGTCTACGTACGGTAATCATGGAAACATGAGAAACAAGGTACCATGGTGACCAATATACCAAACACAACGTCAAGTACAATCAATAACAAACAAACATTGACTTTATCTGTCACTAAACGCTGTTAAACGATATTGGATACAAAGGTGACATGGTACAACGTTAGTGTTTTTATTTGAGGAACAAAGAGCAAACGGACAAATATTATTTGAAAGGATAAGATGGAAAATAGGAGGAGAGGATAATTGTCATCGGAATTGGACTCTTCCAAGGCTGGGCGGTGAGGGGGAGGGGGTGGAGCACAGAGAAATAGAGATACATGTAGAAGGGAGAGGGAATAATAACAAGGAGAAAGAAAATAGTCTAGAGAGGGGAGAGAATAAGAGAGAGAGAGAGAGAGAGATAGGGGGAGGGAGGGAGAGAGGGAGAGAGAGAGAGAGAGAGAGAGAGAGAGAGAGAGAGAGAGAGGTTTGCCAGTTTGTTTTGGCGACACTGTTCTAACAAATACACGTTTTCATTATCATCTTTTATTATTCATTGTAAGTTTTAGTATTCCTTGCTTTAAACATGTTGAGTTTTCTGTGATTCAGGTGAATGTTTAGCGAATGAATAGCAGTATTGCAATGAATGCAATCAATAACAAATTAGCTTTTAATTGTACTGCCCCCGCTTCGACTACACATCCAGTATAATCAGACCGACCCGACGTAGCAGCGATGGTCAATGCCATCATCGCGTCTCGCTCATTATTACTCGGTAGCAGATCGATGTAGGCAAGTCCATCGTCATCGACGACCACGGATGTTCCTGAGCAGCCCGTGGTCGTAGGCTCACCCGTGATCAGATCACAGTATGTCCCGGATGGTAGTCCTGTCTGCAGAGTCTCTGATTGCCGAATCCTCTCATTGTTCAAGGCGAAGAAGGCTTTGTCGCCTCGAGAAAAGGCGATGAAATTATCGCCATTGTCCCACCAGCTATCAACCGGCTCATCCCCAGCAACGTTGCGGAAACAGACCATGTTGCGTATCGCCCTCCAGCGATGCTCGCAAACCCAACCACCATCGCATAATCCTTCTGCGTTGATCATGACGTTGTCTGTGTTACCTGAACTATCAGACGGCGGTCCCTGGTCGCTGTCTTCAAAGACATACCCGCTGAAGATACGCGCAGTTCCGTAATTCCACGCCAAGCCGAACGCGAGACCGATCTTGTATTCGCGTGGTTCTTCAAACGTCAGGATATCTCCTCCGCCTCCGTGGTTACGTTGGTTGTCATGGTTCTCGACGAAGATGATCGCGTTTTCACTCGGCATCATCCCCCAGCTCGGATCGAAACCAAAGTTTTGAAACTGATCAGCTGGGACGGAGGCTCGTCCGAGTAAAGCCATTTGATCGCAGAATTTAAACTCGGTAACGTCACCGGTTTGAAAGTACTCGATAGGCCTAATGGCCTCGTTGCTGAATCGGTCGATGACCTCCTGATAGATGTACGGCCTGCCGCCAAATGTACAGTCATGGAGGCTTTACGAATAAAAGACAACAATACACAATCACCGTTAACATTAACACTATAATAGAGCTAAAGTTATGATATAAAGAAAGTATTTAAAAGATTTAGCATGGTTTAAAGAAAAGGAACAAAAACCAACACAACAAAAACAAATAAGTAAATCGACCAAGAATTTATGGTGAAAACAAAAACGAAATATCTACGAAAGTAACACATATTCTTCTTTTCCAAACCCTATAAACTTCTCAGCATGTAAACATGGTAAAATTCTTGTGGATATGTGGGGTTACGTCAGGCGATATGATGCCCTGTACTGTATGCAACGGACATATACCACATAACAGATTATTATGCTCCATATATGAATTTGGATACGTACCGACTTTCCACATCGTCCAGTTCAGCAGGGTACATGTGTTTAGCTGCATCAATCCGGAACCCTGCCACGCCCATGGCTATCATAGTATTAAGGTACTCTACAACCTAGGTAAAACAGACACGGGGCAGAAGAAGAAAAACATGTACACAACCAGAGTAGTTACAAGGGGTTGAAGGAGGGAAGGGGAGGGGGGGGGGGGGGGTGGACCTTTTTAAACGTGTATACTAGAAGGAAAAAGAAATGTAACCGGGCAAAAGTCTATTAAATTGTCGGGAAAGATGTGTAATGGTATATTTTTTTTTTATTTAGCTTTGATTTCTGCGACCGTTTGGAAAATTACAATAGACATAAATTGCGACAATGGCTACGTTTAAGTAACATTTCTGTCAGTGTTATTTTTTTTTTCGTTTTGCTTTACGTTTGTTCTGTTTCTGTTTTGTTAATTGACCCCCCCCCCCCTCTATCTCTCTCTCTCTCTCTCTCTCTCTCTCTCTCTCTTTAAAGTGATCCGGTAACTTTGTCTCAGATTCTGAAACGAAATTCTTGATTTAACTCATGCTGCAATGATAATTTTAAACCTTTAGGTCAGTCAGGAACCCAATGACTTTTACAAGCCGACCGCCTGTCTGATTATCAAGATATTTATGATTGGAATTAGAATTTTTTTAAATTGTTTGCCAAACGGTTTTCATAACACTACATTCTATTGGGAAAAACGAG